ATGGAGTTTTTTTAGGTTTTTACAAGCCTGATAAAATCTATAGACATTCTCTCTAGAACTGCTCATATACACAAATACAGAGGCATCGCTTAAAATTTTAGGAATTTTTTTTTAACATCTCCCCCACTATTCCACCCATTGGTTCTTAAGAGTATCAGAAGAAAAGCCTAAGTTTTGAGTTCACCTGGATGTGACAAAAAAATCTGTCCTTATGGTTAACCTTTTAATTAGATTATTTATAAAATAAAAATAATAGTTCTTACCTCAAATATTGTAAAGATTAACTGATATGATGCATAGGCATTTGCACTTAACATTATGTGGCACAAAAATACTTAGAAGTTTGATGTTATTGAGGTTGTTATCTCTTGTTGGAGTAAGGTGCTTGTGGGAAGGAAGAAGTTAAGTAGGTATGCTGGGAACATAAGGTCTTAAGCAGCAGAGCAGTTGCCCTGGATGCTGCCCAGAGGCTTCAAAGGCAAGTGAAGGATTACTGGGGGTGTGGGATGAAGCTATACCTCCACTTTGACTCTGCTCATGAACCAGACCAGTCCCACTCAGCTTGGTTTTCCTTACCTGTAGCGCCTTGGCCTCAGCATGCCCACTGGCCGTCTGTCTCCACACCCACATACTCCAGAGCTCAATGGAATGAGTTTCTATATTGCTTACTTTCTCCTCTGCTCCAGTCTCCTAAGTGATTATTTCATGGTTGAAACAGTAAAAATAAATTGCCTAATGGCTCTTCACACACACACACACACACACACACACACACACACACACACACACCTCCACTTGCCTGTTAGATAATGACAAGATACCATGCAAACTCTCTGTACCTTGAAGTTTAACCCTCAGAATCATTGGCCATCTCGCAGTGATGGCCACCACTTTGACAGTCTGGAAGAAAAATCTCTAAATAAGTAATAAATAATTACACCACCCAAAGACTATGGTTGGAGCCTTCTCTTCCACATCATTATCACTATAGGCTGGTCTTCTAGTATCTCAGGCTGACAAGAAGATTGTCCACTGGGGCAGTTTGGATGGGCTTAGCAGTTTTGGTACTGGGGTCTGTTTCTGCACAGCTAGTGAGAGTTGTCTCCCTCTATTGCCATGAGAACAGCTTTCAAGGGAAGAGAGTACCTACCAGAATGCCAAGTTGGGGTGTGATGTGCTGGGTAGTCTCTGTGTGGTGGCTCTTTGGCCACAACCATGAATGGGGCTCTCGTCTCTCCATGTAGACTCCATACATTTTGTTCCCTTCTCCCAGTCTTCTCCAAGATTATGCCTCTCCTCCAGGACTTCCCTCTCTATTATCAAGATCTTAATTTGAAACCAAAATACTAAATATGACAATTGTCTCTCTCATTGTAGCCCAGCTACAGTGATTCTCATTCTTTTTGAAGTAAGTGAAGTGAATGGTTCCACTTACCAGTGGAAAGGTTGGGAGATATAAAAAATGAAGAACCCAAAGAATAATATTTTTAAGGCCTTACTCTTGGCCAGTTGTATGTTTTTGCTAAACTCTGGTGACAGCTTGCCTTGTCATGCTATTCTCTGCAAGTTACTAAGCAGTGGAGTTTGGTTCTATGACCTAAGTGTCTCAATTTACTCTCCTGAAATACTCTACTTTCCAAATGCCTGTGCCTTGTCATGCCCCCATGTTAATTCCTACTGATAGAAAGAAAAATAAGTTCCAATAGGTTCATTTCCAGGCTAGAAGACTCTGAGTCTTTATAAAGAATAATTAAGGCTTAAGTCTGACTCTTGTCATTTCTACAAAAATAAAATAAGCAAGTGCATTGATATGACAATCTACCAATACTTATTTAGCACCTTCTGTCCACTATAAAATATACAATGTAAAGAGATGTGACATAGGCTTCTATGCTATGTGGGCTCTCAGTTCAACAGGGAAGATAGACACATGCAAAAATAGCCAAAACAAAAGGGACCATAGCAAAGGTAATGGATGTGATTACATCTCAGAAGTAATGGAGAAGGAAAACCACTTCAAATGGGTATCCATAAATTTCTTGGGCAAGGGGGATTTAAGCTGGACCTTAAAGGAGGAGTGAGATTTCCATAGGCAAATATGATGAAGAAAGACATTCTCAGCTGTGGGAAGAATTTGAAGAAAGGCAAAGTGTTGGGGAGGTGCTTGGTATATTAACCAGTATAACTATAATATGGATTGGAGGTGAGGAGGTAGCATTTGAGGTTAGAAAGGTTAAAATCATACCACAGGAAAGAAACTAAAGACCTTATCTGTACATGTAGCTGGGAAATATTGAGAATCTTTGAATAGGAAGATACCAGAAGAAGATCTGTTTTATTAAAAAGGAGAGCCCTGGTGCCTCTATGAAGGATAAACCATAGAAGGCAGGAAGGAAACAAGACCTAGCAAAGGTAATGGGAACCTGAACTAAAGCAAAAGAAGAGAGGATATTGAAGAGAGACATTTGAGAGTACATTCCCTCAGGATGGCTGGTGACATGTAGTAAAGAAAGGAGAGGTGAGCAGAAAGAGGGCTCTCCGTGGCTTATCCAGCCCCTACCTTGGATGCTGGCCAAAGCAGCCTATGGGGTCAGAGGAAGCGATTAAACATGGGCTTAGAAACCAGGTGGTGTAGGATACCTTTTTGACCATCCCACAAGAACTTTTTCCTCTCTAGAATGCCCCCAGGGATAGCAGCTGACCATCAGTGAACACCAAAGTCAAATTATATTCAGGCCTGCCTAGCAAGCATGAAGCCCTGAGTTTAAAACCCAACACCACCAAGCAAACAAAACAACAAAAGCAAAAGCAAAAACACTTGCAGAAACCTTCCCGAGAGGAAAAAAACTCATCTGGAATGTTGAGGTGGGCCTCAGGTGGTGCCCAGGCATCTGTATTTAAAAAGCTGCCAGGTGATTCTGAAGTCAGCTGGATTTGGAAAGTACCATGGGATCTTACTGTGATGCTTTGAACATATCGAAATAACACTTTGACACTCATGATAATGAACACTATGCAGGCTTGGAGAATTTAGGTGTGGGTCTTCAACAGTGTCTCAAGCACAGTGACTTTCACTGGGGGTCTTAGCTTACCCTCTATGCCCAAACATGATCCTTGGCAATACAACAGGAGATGGGAGAAGCCAAATGCTTGGGGGTCCCTGAACGTCACAGCAGGACAGCATGCATTCAAATTATCATTTTTCACATTCATCCTTAATAGAAAAAGAGTTCAGCTGTGTCACAGGGGTACTGTGAGAGCATCTTTTTAATGGATGCTTTGTGTCTTTAGAAAACAGGCTATGTAACTATACTGTCCATTTTCTATCATGCTTGTACCAACACTCACGGCACACTTACTTTTTATTGTCACTTTTGTCTCTCAGAAGAATGATGCAGTATACAGGTGAGGTAGGTGCTAAAAACTCCCCTTACACACTGAGCTCTGAGGGATTCAATGACTCATCCAAGGTCAGACAACTTGATCAGAGTGCTGAATTTGCCCTCTTGCTGAGCTCCAGTTCTGCTTCTGTGCCATAATGGAGAAGGGCAACATAAAGGCATTTTTCTCTCCTTGTAAAAGAGAAAAAAAACGGGGGCAGGAGAATTATTTAAACACACCTCACTCATACTGCAATCGCTACATTGTTTTTCCTGTAGAAATACCCTGTTGGTTTTTAAATCCCTTTAAACCTCCCTGGCACCTGTATGGCCCAGATCCAAGAATTATTACCAAATCCCTTGCTTTTTATATTTTTTGCCTCATAGGAGTTTCTGTGATGGTAACTGACTCCTGGTTTAGTTGAGAATTTCCGAGCCTCCAGAAATTTTCTTCTTCTGTAGAAGCTAGAAGCATGTGGTGCTCAGACCTGAATTTCTTCTTTTTTGCTTTGAACACACACTTTAGTTCTGCTAGATGAAATAGAATCGAGGCACAATCCTGTATTGTCCCTCTATGACGTGATGATACCATGCTTCTGAAGCACTAACCAAAAGACAGAAGAAGGATAGGTGGGGGGTCAGAGTTAGCAGCTCATAAGATGTGATAGGACTGCTCTGTAGGGCAAGAACTGGGACTGCAAATATAATGAGAACTTCCCAGCAAATTCATTATATGAAATGTAATGTGAGCTCACTAGGCACAAAAATAGGCTGGAGGAAAGTGACTTCCACATAAGACCTAATTAAATACTTTGATGTCCGAGAACAGAGCAGGGAGGGGTAGAAAATCAAATCAGACCAGTGTGAAGAGCCTAAAATCAAATGCAAAGAAGAAATATTCACCTCCATCTCTCTCTCTCTCTTTTTCTTCTTCTGCCATGAAGGAAGAATAAGATTCAGGAACAATGGGCTGTAAATTCTTCAGCCAATTAGTCCAGTGACTTACTACTGTTTATAATGCACAGAATGTCACAGGCTGTTTTGCAGCCGCCCCAAGTGGGTTTGTTAATAACAGGAAGCTAGCACTTCTCAGTACAGTGGATCAGCTACACGTGAAAATAAATGCAAAAAACCTGGAGGGGAATAGCAACAGACCGAGAGTAGCCTTGATTTAATTTAACATTTGGGGGTCCACACACAAATGAGCATTTTAGTAGGCTTCATGGTGGAAGTTGCTGTCATTTGTAAAATATTCTGGCCAATTAGCTAATAGTGTGCTTGGATTTCTCCTGTTTTGATACAGTAATACTAAGTACATTGTGAAGCCCAATTATACAAATCATCCCCATATGCCATACCAGTCTTTCTTTATGAACTGTGTTTATAAATCCTGTGTGAGGAAATGTGTACTTCAGCAATTTAGACCATGTGTAAAAACATAGCCAATGGGATTGTCAAGAAAACAAGTTCCAGCCTAGGAAATCCTAATGTGTTCCGCTGGAATAACAGGAGGGTGCCAGGGAGCGCAGTGCTCTGCTTACATATATATTGCTTTATACTGTTTAACCAATTAGGGTCTTCCATTTCCCCTTCTGTTACTTTATTCTTCTTTTCTTTTAGGATCCAACCTTGGAGTTTTTGAGAAAATTTGGGATTGGTTTTCTCTCAGGGACAATGGCCTCAGTCATTAACATCCCTTTTGATGTTGCCAAAAGTAGGATTCAAGGGCCTCAGCCAGTTCCTGGAGAGATCAAGTACAGAACCTGTTTTAAAACAATGGCAACAGTCTATCAGGAAGAAGGGTAACACATTCTTACTTTAATAAACATGCAAGGCTCGAGTACTGTTAAAACCATATTGTGCTTCTATTTTGATGAGAACCAGTAAGCTCCTGAGTTGGGTGTGTGTCTAAGGAGCTCCGTGGACTATACGACAAACTTCACAAGGCCACACATTAATGAGATGCTGGCAAAAAGTTCTTATGCCATCAAGATCACGCCATGAGCATGATCACACAATACACGGCATGTCTGCCTTAGAATGCTAAGATTAACGTTCTATCTGGCCGTTTGCATAATATGCTATTGTATATTATATACAATATAATATACATTATATATTCATATATGGGCAGGAAAATATTTGTCTTCTAATTGTAAATCTAATCAAAATGTCACCTAGTTATATTTCTCCTGGGAGAATTAAATATGAGAATTCTGAAAAACTAGGGTTTTGGTTTTTTTTTCTAATTTAAAGTTTGTGCCTTCTGTTTTTATTTTTCCCTAGGCCTTAGTTTCTATCTCTCCCCCCTCCCCACTTCACCAATAACTTATTCTCAAGTAAACAAGTAATACTTTATTAGTTTGATCTAAACTGCATCCTATTTCCTAATGTGAAGACTAAGTTTGTGGTCTTTTAAATTCAATTACAAAAGTCATTTTGCCCATATATACAGCTGTCTTGAAAGCAAAAACCACCTCGCTGATGAAAGTCATGTTTCTGATTGGATAAGATGAACAGAGCCTGGATAATAAAGAATTGATTAACTCTTTCCCCTCATCCAGTTTGCTGCAGTGAATACTGAGCCAGTAACTGTCAGGTTGGGGGTGGGTGTAATTTCAAATAGTCCCTTTTTAAATGTTAAGCCAGTCTTTCAATAAAGCTGAGGTCCAGCTCCATTTATTTTCACAATAAGAATGTTGTTCTTTTCCTTTTGATTCTAGGATTTTGGCTTTGTACAAAGGCCTACTTCCCAAGATCATGAGACTTGGACCAGGTAATGATGCTTTCATTATTTATATCCTTCCTTCTTTCTTTATTGATCTAGCTTCTCTTCTTTTGTTATTTGTGTCTATTAGCAACACAATAAAAGTTTACCACACCGAGAGAGATGGAATCCTTGAGGATATAAAGTTGTCTATGAGTATTGAAGGCATCCATTAGAATTGCTCTACCTTTGTTTATAAACACTGTTTATGACCTTGTTAGAGGCTGGTGGAAGCCAAAACTCAGCTTAAGTCAATAGGAAAGAGTCTACAATTCTTGAAGTCTGAGTGAGCTCTGAGGTGTACATACACAGTGCCTTCTGGCTGAAGTGGAGGATTGTTCATTGAAGGATCAGCCTGATAAAACTTGTCCTTGGGCTCCCGGTAAAATCATGCTCCTGCCTCAACTTCATTTCAAACAGATAAAAGGAGGAAAACAGGCCTCTATGAAAAGCAAACCTCTCCTCTTCATAGTCACTTCTGGGGAGTGGTGATACTGTTGCTGGGCACTCACTTGTCCTAGCCTCTGTCAGCTTGACCATACAGGGCCCTGGCTCAGGACCTTCCCTGAAGATGCCAGCCCACAAAAACCCAGCTGCCATTCCACAGGGAAAGTCGGCTGTCTCTATGTAAATAGATAAGAAAATAACCACTGCAGACTCCACTGCCTGGGCAAACAGTCCTGGGTGAGTAAGTATGGAGGTATGTTTTAGAGCATACACATTTTTTTAACCAGGTCACACACCCTTACTTAGACATCCTCGTACTCTAGAACCTTCTCTCTTCTTATACTTTCTCCCTTTACCGTCCCTCCCTGTAAAGGTCAACATCCTTCTGCACTCACACACATACACATTTACCTTTAGATACTAACCTAATAAATTGACATTTCTATGCCAGTTTTGGAGTGATTTTTACTTTTTTTGGCCATACTGGGGTTTGAACTCAGGGCCTCACACTTGCTAAATCGGCCCTCTATTGCTTGAGCCACTCCACCAGCCCTTAAACTGACTCTGTCCAGCTTAAAGAACAATATTTGTACATTGAAGCTGGTGAAAGTTCAGACTTTCATATATTTAGAAAATACTCCCACAATTCCCATCCTAAGTTTCCCAATCTTTGTAGGTATTTAAACATAGATTTTGCTTCATATTTGAGATCCAGACCTACCTTCTGTTAACCATTGACTTGTACGTAAAAACTAACCCAATAATAAAGAACACTGGGAATTTTGTGCATTTCTGCAAGTTCTGTAGGTGGTGTGGTGTTTTTCCTTCACCACATAGTAAAATCCTGCTAGTAGACCTAATATTACAGAAATTCACAGGCCATCCCTAAACCAGCTTTATTGGAAGGGGATGAACCAATGACGAATAACCCCAAGTTTTGTTAGAGGCTTGCAAATGTTTGGTAGGTTTTGAAATGTTTTAGCATGAGAGGGGCCTGAGTTTCTGGTGGTAGTAAACCCAATGAAAAGGGTTGTTGTGAAGTTACTGTCCAGCCTACACAAAATTGTGAAAAATGGATAATTTCATTCAAGGACCTGGCCTCCACTTCATTTCAAATGTGCAAGTCCCAGCAACCTCGAAGGGAGGAGGTAGAGAGAAAGGTAAGACTTTTGAGTGAAGGCCATTCAGAATTTAAGAACATTTTTTAAAAGGGATAGTAAGAAGAAAAGAAAGATGACCCTGATTCTTCATCCTTCATTCTGGAGAAACATCCCATCTTATTTCTATAACAACCTTAGCAGCTGCATGTGTCTAACAATCAGATACCTCCCCCAAAGAATCTTGAAGTCTGTGGTTTAAACTCCAAATCTCACTAGGCTGAAAACTAACCCAATTCTGTATATTTTTGCCTAACATTGTGACCAGTTAATAAGAGTAAACAAAGCAATCACATATATATTAACAACTCTCTCTAATGCATCTATTTTTGTTTGCCAGAGTTCGAGGAGGGCTATAGCAGCTGAGAGGGATCTAATAGGATATCTTCATGGGTTAAAAATGAAAATTACAGGCAGATAATTATCTTTGGTATATGGTTGCACAAACATGTGCAGACTGCAGATTTAAAAAAAAAAAAACAGCATACGACAATGTGTGCAAAATAACTAAGATCCAAATCTAGTTCCATTTCTTTCCATCAGAAGTCAATCTTCTACTTATGCAGCCAAGTCTTCTCGTCCACATTTTGAGTTTGAAATAATTTTTACACAAATGTAAAAGAATAAGTAGAGCTAATTCTAAGTTACAGGACACATGTTATTTGCTGCACTAGAAAGCACACAAAATGATTCATACAAAAATGCTTTTGCCAATTTACATGGTATTCAGCAGCCTCAGTGCTTAGTTTCCTGAGCTATATTCCTGTTGTTGTGTTTCACAGCAAACCTTTTTTCAGCCAATTATATAACTCTTCTCTTCCAAGACAAATGGTGGTCTCATGTCACCCAACTCCACTACCACATTTTCAAGTTCAAATCTATATACATCTGAGGCAGATAAATGATAAATGGAATGGTTAGCTCCCAAACTCCTTTTGTTAAGATTTTGCAATACAGATTTTTAAAATATTCAGAAGCTATTTTTCACATTACAATCTAGTTTGAAAGCCATAAGAAAAAGAAGGGAAAAAAAGCTCATCCATTAAGCGCCATCTTCTTGAATGCAACTAAGACAGTATCAGTTATGGACTGAAAAAGATAAATTCTTTGCCTACATATGAAGAATCTGAAGGTTTCTGTTCACAGAAAAGCCACATGCCCTTACATGACTAAATATGTCTATATTTATTTACTTTTAAAAATTAAAAGTGCCTGAAAAAGAATCTGATGAGAAATGTTGAAAGTCACAGAAACTCATGGGGAAAAAATGTATTTGGAGACTCAATATGGTCTTGATTTTACCCTGAGAATTTTCCACAATAGCTTCATATCTATGTATCACACTCCAGAACTGATGTTTCCAAGCCCAATAGGCTCCCTGGAACTCCACAGAACCCGAGGGAAAGAAAATGTTATTTCACAGGACTTGATATATATAAAAAACAAAAACCCAACTCTTTTCTTTTAGGTGGTGCAGTGATGCTGCTGGTATATGAATACACCTATCTGTGGCTGCAGGAAAACTGGTGATTGCCATGGAAGTGTTTTCCCCTTGAGAAATGGAGACTTACTCTGCAACCCCATCGAGAGTAGTGACTTCTATCAGTTAAGCTAGGCCTACAGTTATGAAGGGAAAACAGCTTGTTCAAGAACAAAGCCTGTTTTGATACCTTAGAACTTATCTTTAGACAACTTGAGATGGTAGTTTGGGCTATACACATAAAATTGTGAAAAGAAAAATGTGAAGCAATGAGGTATGTAAGTTCAATATTACAAATAGGATAGAAATCAGATATATTTCCTAAAAGCCCTACAAGCTTTATCACTTAGGTTCTTCTTATACTGCTTCAAAATGTAAATTCATGGAAATGATAACTTTTTTCTAACAGGTCTAGAAATGCTTAAATTCTTGAAAATAAATTACTCTGAGGCTAGTTCCTTAAAAATTATTCAAAGAAAGACTGGGTTTAAAAAGAGAGAGAGATAAGCCAAAATCTAATAGTTTTTATGAGGAATTAGTTTTCTGTAAATATTTTAAAATATTATTTTTAGTTCTTTCAAAGTACATTAAAATGGCCTTTTAAGAACATTCAGTTTTGTGAGTGTGGTGTTATAATGTAAGTCTGTTGGATTTCTTGAGTAATAATATACATTTCAATTCTGTTTTCCTAAATCTACTTTATATTCACATGATTGTTTAAGCAGGTATTTTCAAATCATGCTATTTGAAGTCTTTTATTACAAATAAAATTCATCATGTATTAAACTACTTTCTTTTGCATATTTCACTTTGAAAACAAATTCTGTTGTTGAAATATTTGCATGTTAAGTCACAAATAGGAAGCACTCCTTGGGCCCATTTTTGCTTTGCACAAAATTCTTACATATAGCATTCTTAATAAGAATGTGTAGAGTGAAACTACCTTTCCATGTTATTAGTTTTAAGTGACAGCTTCAGGTGTGAAGTTTGCTGTCTACAATATTAAAATATGTATGGTGAGGGAAAAAATGTTTCAAAATAGAAGTACATTCTTAGCATTTCCAAGGATTCCTGTACTAACATGCACTCTAAAAAACATCACTTTGGTCTTGATATAACTGAAGTTGATTTTATATCTGCATCCTGAAAATGATGCTACTTTATAAGTCAGCATCAACAAAAATATCTGCATGTTCTAGAAGATACCTGTTATTAACTACTAGTGTCGTGTATTTCTACTATGGGGTTATTTCACTGAAGTATTTTGAAAATAAAAAGTAAAGATAACATGGTAATTATTTGTTTTTATTAATTTAGAGCATTTAAAGTATAAAAATAAAAGGCTTTTTGACATTCTGTATATACATACACAGCCTTCTGTTGTACATCCTTTCCGATATAATTTTTAATTTATATTTCAGCCCAATAGTCAATTAAGTGGATCATTAAAAACAGAAAACCAAGAGATATAAGAACATGTCTGTGTTGCACAACTGCATTCTATCCTTACAGGTAACACTCTAGCATCCTGTGATAGAGAGCACAGAGGCCATAAAATTGAACCTTTAACCTCTCTGTGCAGATGAGATGGAAAAAGATTTCTGAAGAATGCATTTGCCAATTTAAAAAACAACACTTTACCCTCTAAGAAACAGAGGAAATATGTTAACATTAACCAATAATGTTAATAATGTTTAAAATTCAAACAGTCCCATTCCATTTTCCTTCTCATAATTTTAAAAATGTCTTCAAATCACAATTTGCTTTGTATAGCCAATTGTATTTTGGTCTTCTGTTGTCTTTCCATGTGAGTTTGCTGTTGCTAAGAAAAGATCTAGGAAGAAAAATGAAAAGGAAAAAGAAAACTTTGATACCATTAATATTAGATTTTTTAAACACAAGAACCAGACAGAATTATAAATAACAATAAGAGATTTCTTAATTTAGATAAAGAAAATAACATTACTAGTTGTGGTTCCATATGAACAATTGATATTTTTTAACTCCCCTAACAGCCACCTAAAAACATTTGGTAAAGAATAATTCTGTACCTATGTCAGTTTTTCTGGATGGCAGGCTTCCCTCTATGGTATGGTTTTAAAGTCTCCATCAAACTATGGGGTTGGGTCTTCGTTCCATTTGGTTTATAGTCTATTTTCTCACCAGACTGGGAACTCCAGATGTTAATGGAGTTTTACTAGATCAAAGGAAGACTATGGCCCTGAGAGTTCATCTGCTCCTTCTGCTTATTCTTCTCCTGAAGTTATAATCCTCTGTTTGTAGCACTGAATTTCAGTTGCTTTAGAAATAAATGCAGTTCAAAGCTCTCTATAAGATATCTGCTGCTTGAAAAAAAAACTGTTCCTCAAACATAACTTGTGTGTCAGAAATCTGCTTACTGTTTATACCCTAGTAATTCAAAAAACTAGCTGATGTAGCCATCTGAGTTTTAATGAAGCTATGAAACCTGTGTGGAGGAAGTGGATTGCCATATACACTGTACACAGCACAGGTACAAAAAATCAAATCATCCAACGAATGTGTCTGCAACCCATGTCTAGTGAGGTGCCCATTTAGTTATTGCACAGAATTAACCCACAATATATTAACTTTCCAAAAGATTACTTGTACCAATGTTCTGAAAATGTATTTTTAAGCCCATATTGCCAAGCAGGAAAAACTTCCTAACAAAGGGACAAGAACTGTAGAGTTTTACCCAAGAAAACTGATTGTTTTAAAATACAACACATAATCACACACACACACACACACACACACACACCACACACACACACACACACACACCCCACAGCTCTCTTATTAACATTAAAGTGAAAAATAAGTTGGTCTAGAAAGATTTATCAATTAATCTGTCATGGAATTCCAGAAATGAATAAAGGAAATTTGCTAAAATTAAATAGCATTTGTATTTCTAATACCAACACCAATTTATCTACACGTGAAACATGCTTCTGTACAATAATGTAAACTTCACAGCAAGCCATTGTTACATTCATTAGAGCAGAATTTTCCATTTTCTTTAAGTTACAACATCATTTTGGGCTGAGACTGATGAACACACAGGTAAGCCAACAATAACAGTACAATTTAGTTTCACAGTGGTTTTTTTAACGTAAAGTTCATTTTAAGTGTCTTTACAAAAACATTTCACATTAAACTTGTTTCTAAGTGACTTCCTTTAGAGCCTTCTTGTCCAGATATTTTCTACCCTCTTGTCTTTATATGCTTAGCATGTGTGTTGTCTGATTAGGATACAAAATGGAGACTGGCTTGTTTTATCTTTTTTTTTTTTTGAAGGGACAAGAACTGTAGAGTTTTAACCCAAGAAAACTGAGTTGTTTTAAAATACAACACATAATCACACCACACACACACACAACACCACACACACACACACACACCACACACCCCACAGCTCTCTTATTAACATTAAAGTGAAAAATAAGTTGGTCTAGAAAGATTTATCAATTAATCTGTCATGGAATTCCAGAAATGAATAAAGGAAATTTGCTAAAATTAAATAGCATTTGTATTTCTAATACCAACACCAATTTATCTACACGTGAAACATGCTTCTGTACAATAATGTAAACTTCACAGCAAGCCATTGTTACATTCATTAGAGCAGAATTTTCCATTTTCTTTAAGTTACAACATCATTTTGGGCTGAGACTGATGAACACACAGGTAAGCCAACAATAACAGTACAATTTAGTTTCACAGTGGTTTTTTTAACGTAAAGTTCATTTTAAGTGTCTTTACAAAAACATTTCACATTAAACTTGTTTCTAAGTGACTTCCTTTAGAGCCTTCTTGTCCAGATATTTTCTACCCTCTTGTCTTTATATGCTTAGCATGTGTGTTGTCTGATTAGGATACAAAATGGAGACTGGCTTGTTTTATCTTTTTTTTTTTTTTGAGTCCTCTGCTGTAGAAAGAAAGTGTCCTTCATGAGATGCTGAAGCCTTCACTGCTCGCACAAAATTTGAGGGCAAGTCCAGGTCCAGAAGCCCAAGCAGCCCACCACCAGAGACAAAAACGTTGCCAGAAAGTCACCTTTACAAAAAAGAGAAAGAAAAAAATAGAGAGGAGGTAGGGTTGGGAAAGAGGGTATATCATGGAATGAAGATGCATCCAGAGTCCATATTTACAAACTAAAGAAAATATAAACATTATTGTATTTGGAACCAAGTCAAAACACCAGGAGGAGCTAAGTTCAAACAATGCTTGGATTCTACTCATAATAGGTCACCTCTTAAAAATAAACAAAAGATCACTCAAACAAGTCAATTATTGATTGGTTTCTTAATGATGAATTAAGGCTTACGTGGTTACTTTATTTGATTAGAGGGTGTAGCATAACTTTTTTTCTGCATGTGTTTTCCTTTATTGATTTTGTAAAATCTCAACAATTGCACGTTTCAAAAGTTCAGGTTGATTTAGAATAAATATACATGTGTGGTTTTACCAAAGACTAGTTTAAAAAGTTCCTTAAGCCCTTTGAGGGGTTAAAACAGTGTGTGGGCAACACAAATGTCTCATTCAATCCTTAACGTTGCTTTTGTTTTTAAATCCTAAAATTATGTTGGGTTTCCTACAAGAAAGAAGTTATGGCAAGAAATATTTTCAGTGTCATCAGCACAAAGGATGAGAGTCCATGAAGCCAGCTCTTGAGGCAGGAGGGGTGGAAGGCAGGAGGGGTGGGATGTGAAATCTGGGAAGTGGGGGAGGTTGTGCTGAGAGGGGAGACCCCCAAGTGAAGCTGCTGGAGACCGAAGTTCCCATCAGAGTGCAGAAGCGGTGACAGAATGACTACCTTCTCTGGCTGCCTGCATTCCCTTGAAAGCCAGGGACGCGGGAATGTCACAGTTGTGGGGGGACAATGGGGTGCCGCCGGCATGTTGCCACCCATGTCCAGTAACATAACCAGAAGGAGCAGCGCTGTAGGTCATATAAGGTGACACTTGGGCTGGGGTAGGGTAAGGAGCCATGCTGGATGCTGACACAAAACTGCTCACAGCTGGGAGACCATTTGGTGCCTGAAAGAGTAGAAAATAATGACATTACATAGTCAACATCTCACAGAGTTTACATCTCACTGTACATTCTGAATAAGTCTGAATAAATTACCCATATTCTGACTATTTTCTGATATTTTCTCTCCCCCTTCTCCTCTCTTCCTCCTTTTCTTCTCCTTCTTCCTTCTTCCTCCTCTTCCTCCTCCTTCTTCTTCTTCTCTTTCTTTCTCTTTCTCTCTCTCTCCCCCCGCCCCTCTCCTTTCTCTTTCTCTCTCTATTTGTTATTACCTTACTTTGAGGTGTTCATAGTCTTGCTACTTAAATAGTCTTAGAATCTGTTCGGCTTTGTACAATTTTATACTTGGGTTTTATTTGGCTCTGTTGTTGAAGCTTTGTGAC